ATTCTTAAAATAAATAAATAAAAAGCACACATTTGAATTAAAAAAAGTACACTTTTGTAAGGAATGCCAAATAGTGCCTTAGGGCAACTTTAGTTCAACTGGTCAATGACATCGAAGGGATCTTAATGGTAATGGTATGATATGTCTCCTATAAAGAAAAGAGATGAGGTGTTATATAAGATTTAGACATTACTCAAAAACCACCACCCATTATTAAGTCTACGATAATTAGAGAGTATTTAAAATGATTTGAATAAGTATATTTTTTTAATTTTTTATAAATAAAAAAAATATGAAAAAAATAAAGAAATTATATCACCTAAAAAAGATAAAAAAATAAAAAATAATAAAAAAAGTACACTTTTGTAAGGAATGCCAAATAGTACCTTAGGCTTATTTTGAGAAGAAAGTTAAAAGTTAATTTTTTGATTTTTTTTTAAACTTTTAAAAAAAAAATAAAGAAATAATATGACTTAAAAAAATTAAAAAAATTAATAAACTAACTAAAAACTGTGTTTCCAAAATATTAGTTAGAAGATAACTACGCAAGAATAAGAGCATCTCCAACCCACTAGGCATATGATGCTTGTTAGTCAAAATGCCTAATGTGACTCACTTTTTTCAACTCCAATGCACTAGGCATATGCTTAGGCATTTTGGCTCAGCTTACATTCACTAGCTACATGTAGCTAGCCTTCAAGGCTAGGCAAAATGTATTTAATCATTAAGATTATTTCCCTCCATCTTTGTTGCTGACATGGCATTCTATAAAGTTAATAGTATTTGGATGAATAGCTAAAATAAAGAGCATGGTTGGGGCAGAAACATGAAATCGTTGACAGGCAAAACAAAATGTATACTTTATAGTAATATTTAGATAGGTAAAATGCCTACTACCATTAGAGATGCCCTAAATCAATCAATCAAGCACAAGCATATAGGGCATATTTGTTTCGCTAACTATGGGACAGGATTGGACTGTTAGTGAAGTATACCCATAAAAAGCATGTTTGAATGGCAAATAATGGGCCGGATTAATAGTCTTGATTGAAGGATGCATAATCCTGTACGACAGTCGGATTACAATATCTGCACAGGGTATGGGATTGAAGGATTAGTCGGGAGCTTTTATTTACACACACAATATACATTTTCTACACATTTTCCTTCACTATACTTTTTACACACTCCCTTCATTAAATGTGTATATAAAAGGGGTTTAGTGTGTGTAAACAGAAGCTTCTGGATTAGTCCACGGATGGTTGATGGAGAGGGTATGAAATTACATAAATGCCCCCCTCTTAATCCTTTGTCAGCATGAAATGGCCAAAAAAAAAAAAAAAAGTTTGAGGGCCTTTATGTAAGCACCCCCACGCGGATTGTCTCTCATATTTATTTTTTTATTATATATATATTTTTTATAATTATTCTAACATTGGCTAATTCGAAGGCATTTACGTAATTTCATATATTAATTCCATATCATAACATTACATACAAATAAATATTTTTTATCCTCTATCTCCAAATTAATACCACTACATTATTAATCTCCTCATTCATTCCTACCACACTCATAATCTGATTCAACCTAATCCGCCAAACAAACATGACCACAGAGACAATGATTTACATAGAAAACCCAAATTTGAAAAATTAATAATAACAAATAAATAATTGCAGATACTAGAATTTCACTATACTTACCGTCTTACTTGTCAACGCCAACAGGTTGATGACCAATTTCTGATCACCAAAAACTCTTTCACAAATATCACCAAGGATTTTATGAGACCACACGTGCCTTGTTTGGAAAGTTGACAATTTTAGTTAGGTATTTGATTTTTTGATTTTTTTAACTTGATTAAAATAATTATATATGAAAAGTTAATTGACTTTTTTTTTTTAGTTAATTTGATGATTGTGAGAGAAAAAAGTGAAATGATTGTGGACTGCATGCAACATTTTGTCTAATTAACTATTTTAACCTATTTTATCTTTTAATAGACAATTTTAATAATCCTCTTTCCAAACACCCTCATATTTGCCTATTTTATCTTTTAGTAGGCTATTTTAGCCTAACTCTCTTCCCAAACACCCTCATAAAAAGTTTCAAATTTAAATTCTCAATATATCTCCCTCTCACTATGGATCGTGGTAATAATAGTGGAAATTTTATTTCCACACCTACTTACCTCTGTACATTATTTCTCAGTCCACACACTTAATAATTTGATTATTAGTTATTAAATATTCCAATCATACTCTTTGACTCATATCCAAATCATACCCTTGACTCATATCCAGGTACACACACTATTTCAATCATCTTTCCACACACGTTCAAAATTGTAGACTAACGGTTGACCCTTATTTCGGTTCCACAAAGTGAAGACTCACCACCTCAACCCTCTCCATTAAAGACAACTCTATTGAAGAAGAATTTGATAAAGAAATTGGAGAGGAAGTGCCAATGATGAAATCGATTGCGATGATATAGTGGTTCCCAAACCATCATGGAAGTACTACGCTTTCTGTCTCGATGACGAACCATTCACCGAGCTCATTGACCTCTATTGCCCTTTCAAGCCTCATTCGAAGAACCACTTTAGAGTCGTCGATAGCTTTCACGGCTTAACGGCTTTCACGGCTTAATTTGTCTCTTCGACGATTGCTTTGGCTACACCTAATCTATCATCCTCTGAAACCCTGTGATTCGCGAGTCTCTAAGAGCATCTCCAACCCATCCTTCATATCTTCAAATATGAATGATGGTCTCCTCCAACCCACCCTTCAAATTCATCTCCATTTGGGAGGAGAATGAGTTCATCCTTCATATTTGAAGGGAGGATGAAAAAATGAAGGATCCCTCCAAAACACTATTCATTTTGTATTTCTTATTATATTACAAATAACTTTTAATTTGTAAATTTAATTTTTATAAAATTGACATCATTAAAAAGTATAACGACGATTGCTTTGGCTACACCTAATCTATCATCCTCTGAAACCCTGTGATTCGCGAGTCTCTAACCCTTCCAAAACCCAAGTTATGTTGCTATCAATATGGTCCTTACAGTCCTTACATGTTCGCTCTTGGGTTCGGTGTCAATCCTCAGACTTATGACCCCAAGGTAGTGAGGGCTATGTATTTGTCCGGGACTGGGAGAGAGAATTACATTGTTCCTCCTAAAGTGGAGGTTTATGCTCTCAGTACTGGGAAATGGAAAACTGTGAATGCTTAGTGTATTCTGCAATGTGGCGCTATTGTTTGATATGGGTAGTGATATGTTCATTATAGCCATTTTACTTTAAGGTGATATGCACATGATAATTATATATATTTATATTTGTTTTAATATTTTTTAATATATAAATTATATTCTTTAAGTTTTTATAAAAATAATTTAATAATCTCTTTTTGAATAGAGTTTGAATGAAGGAAATGAAGGTTTGTGGTTGAAGTTTGAATGAATAGTGACCTCCTCTATATTTACTTTTTGAATAAAAAATACTTCATCCGTCCCATAATATTAGTCCCTTATTCCATTTTTCATTGTCCCAAAATATTAGTCCCTCTTCAAAAATCAAGTACAAAAATAATATAAATTTCCCATTTTGCCCTTCTTTTAAATTCATAAATAATATAAAAAGTACAATTATGACATTGATATTCTCAAAAAAGTGTACTATCAAAGGGTAATTTTGGAAAACCAACTTTTTAAAAGTACAATAATTGTACTACCAAAAAAAGTTAGATTCCCCAAAAAGGACCATTATTTTGGGACGGAGGGAGTATTATTTTCATCCTCTTAGTGAGAGTATTGCATTGGAGATGCTCTAACCCTTCCAAAACCCAAGTTATGTTTTTATCAATATGGTCCTTACATGTTCGCTCTTGGGTTCGGTGTCAATCCTCAGACTAATGACCCCAACGTAGTGAGGGCTATGTATTTGTCCGGGACTGGGAGAGAGAATTACATTGTTCCTCCTAAAGTGGAGGTTTATGCTCTCAGTACTGGGAAATGGAAAACTGTGAATGCTTCCAATGTTTTGCATAACATGGTTGAGTTTTAAAGCTTTTGTCAATGGCGCTGTGCATTGGGTAGTAGTGCATAGTCAGAGCAAGAACAGTGTATTCTGCAATGTGGTGCTATTGTTTGATATGGGTAGTGATATGTTCATTATAGCCATTTTACTTTAAGATATAACTAGTTGATCACCCGTGCTATGCACGGGATAATTATAGATATTTATATTTGTTTTAATTTTTTTTAATATATAAATTATGTTCTTTAAGTTTTTTATAAAAATAATTTAACAATCTTATCACTAATCATAGTGTACAGAAGAGATTAAAAAGGTTACTGCAGTAACTATACACAGGCTGTATCTATAATTATTTGTGTGAGGGGATTTTAAATGCTAATCAGGCATTTTGACCAAATCAATAAATGCAGGCATGTGGATTGAAAAAGTTAATATTAATAAATGCTGATCAGGAAATTTTGATCAAATCAATAAATGCTGAGTTTTTTTTTTTTTTTAAATCAAAAATTTTAAAAATTAAGATTGAGAGATTGGAGCTTCCAATTTCTCTAATAGCCCTATGGACCACTGCTTAATGTCAAAATAATTAAAATCTCAATACAATTTTAACCTATTAGCCAACCAAACTAAGGTATATAATCCAAGAAAAAAACACTCCACCTCCTTGAACATTAGACAGTTATAACCCTCAACCCTATCGAGTGTACATGCAATGCATGAATATATTTTACCTATTGTGTGTGTTGATTTTCAATTTCATCCCTCAAGAGTGTGCTTCAGTAAGTCTTGCAAGAATGTCAGAAACTTGAAATGCCAATGGGACACAACTACATTTAACTAGTACAAACTCAATCTTGGAATGAAATTGCCAATCACAAAAAATGATAAGATAGTAACTGTGATATGCCGTTTTGGCTAAAATCACAAGGGATTTGTGCAGCGGCCTCAAAAGTGAAGAAAGGGACTGATATATAATTCATGTGAACGCACAACAGCGCTACCCACAGCCAATAACAATAATTTTTTCAATGTTGTACTGCAACTGGTCTAGTTGTCACATAAGAAAATTTCAAAAACAATAACTAAACATTCTAAAACCTATAACAGACAATTCCAAATAATGTTACTGTCAAGAGAACCGTATGAAACAAGCAGAACTCTGACCTCCAACCTCTTCCCTGATTCAGTTTCTCTTTCTTTTTTTCATTTTTGATATGTAATAATGCAGGACCAGTAATTCCCAAACAATAATTTGTCATGAAGCAATCATTGCTGCGCACACTGCACCCTCTGGGCACCACCACCATGCATATCATCATCCTCATCGTATGCCTCTTGGGCCTGTTGCTGCTTCCGACGCATCTCGTCCTCAATGTTAACATCATGCAGTGTAGTCTCCTCACATTCATCCAACTCCATCTCACTCACCTGCATTGAAGGCCTTGGGGGCAGCACAGCTTCCAGAGCCTTGCACTGCTCCGGTGCAAGGGACTCTGGGAAATCCACAGTGAAGTGAATATAGAACTTCCCTTTCATGAAGGGCCTCTGGTAAATTGGCATTCCCTCATCATTTATTGCCTTGAATTGGTCTGCAAGTTTTACCGACAAGAAGACAAGTGTCAGCAAACTCAAAATTCAATAATCATTAGTAATGCAAAACCCATAACATAAAATTAATGGCATAGACCACTAGGGGGAAAATGAAAAACAGAAACAAAAAGGAGTAGAGCTGGCAGACAAAACAGGGGAAGGGGGCATTGAAAAAGGCAGAGTCAAATAAATATGAAGCACGGATCAGCGGGAAATTTCTATACCCTAACAAGTTACAAGGTGATGATTTCTAGCATAAGCAATTACTTAAAATTCAAACTTCGCAATGCGCTATGAAGCACGGATACTTCAAATAGGGTGACATATCCGTATCGGATACCGATACTCCTTGGATACTCGCGGATACGTATCGGATACTTCTTAATTATTTTTTCATTAATTTTAGAGTATCGGATACTCCAAGTCATGTTTCTTTGTTTTATGAAAACTAGAATTGTAGCATTTCTTGCATAATAAAATAATATAATATAATTACAAGTATAAATATAATAATATTTTTCTAATACTTTGTTAAGTTCTTCGATAAGAAGAACATAGTGAGTTAAATAATAAAATTTATCAAATGGATGTATCCTAGTTATTTCATGCATGTCCCCTATAACTACATAGAAAGTAAGAATTAACAAGATAATATAACAATGGTAAAAATTAAACATCAATAAATAAATAAGTAAGTAAACTTGAATACAATATTTTTCACTAGTGTCAAAGGAAAAAGTATAGGGACAAGTTGTGAATTGTTCTATTATTGTAATATAAATATATTAAACTTGATATTGAAATGAAATATTTGCAAGACCTATTAAAAATTTAAGAAGTAAACAAGTTACTAACTTAAATTAATACAAAATTCTTAAAGGTTAATATTCTGCATTATAAAATTACATTGTGATTTCTCAAGGTTCTTTAGCTTAAGTGTGACTCACTATTAATAATTTTAAAAAATATATTTTTCACAAACGTATCCTAACCGTACCGGTATCCTATTTTTTTAAGTTTTGTCGTATCGCCGTATCCGTATCATGTCATATCCGTATCTCGTATCCGTATCTATGCTTCCTAGGCAGTGCGCAAGTGAAATCATGTCTTGTACATTTTAGAGAATTATGTCAGTGTGTAGGAGGAAACAAAATTGTTGAACTTACCAGGCTTGACTACTTCTCCAGGTTGGGATTTAATTAGGAGCTGCCTGTTATCAAGATGGGTTATAATAAACTGGAAGCCACAGAGTGCCTCGGTTAGTGTCAAGGTGTGTTCAACAAATATATCATCACCCTTGCGCTTGAACTTAGGGTGCTCTTTCTGTTGTAGAACAAAGACTATATCCCCTGTAACCGTGTCAGGCTGCAAAAAACACAAATTGGGTATAACCGGTGATGAAACATTCTTTCATGTGCAACAAACAAAAAAATCCCAGACTAGACGACATTGAATGGAGACAGGGAAAGGTACATTACGCAGGGGGAAAAATCTATGTATATATGTAAGTGCTTCAGCTTACCGCTTCATGGATACTCGTGAATACGTATCGGATACTTATTAAAAGTATCAGATACTTCTTAAAAGTATCAAATACTTCTTAATTATTTTTTTATTAATTTTAAAGTATCGGATACTCCAAGTCATGTTTCCTTATTTTATGAAACTAGAATTGTAACATTTCTTACATAGTAATATAATATAATATAATTGCAAGTATAAATATAATAATATTTTTCTAATACTTTGTTAAGTTCTTCGATAAGAAAAACATAGTGAGTTAAATAATAGAATTTATCAAATGGATGTATCCTAATTATTTCATGCATGTCCCCTATAACTACATAGAAAGTAAAAATTAACAAGATAATATAACAATGGTAGAATTAAATATCAATAAATAAATAATCAAGTAAACTTGAATACAATATTTTTTACTAGTGTCAAAAGAAAAAGTATAGGGACAAATTGTGAATTGTTCTCTTATTATAATACAAATATATTAAACTTGATATTAAAATGAAATATTTGCAAGACCTATTAAAAATTTAAAAAGTAAACAAACTACTAGCTTAAATTAATACAAAATTCTTAAAGGTTAATATTTTGCATTATAAAATTACATTGTGATTTCTCAAGGTTCTTTAGCTTAAGTGTAACTCACTATTAATAATTTTAAAAAATATATTTTTCACAAACGTATCCTAACCGTACCGGTATCCTATTTTTTTAGGTTTTGTCGTATCGCCGTATCCGTATCGTGTCATATCCGTATCTCGTATCCGTATCTATGCTTCCTAGGCAGTGCGCAAGTGAAATCATGTCTTGTACATTTTCGAGAATTATGTCAGTGTGTAGGAGGAAACAAAATTGTTGAACTTACCAGGCTTGACTACTTCTCCAGGTTGGGATTTAATTAGGAGCTGCCTGTTATCAAGATGGGTTATAATAAACTGGAAGCCACAGAGTGCCTCGGTTAGTGTCAAGGTGTGTTCAACAAATATATCATCACCCTTACGCTTGAACTTAGGGTGCTCTTTCTGTTGTAGAACAAAGACTATATCCCCTGTAACCGTGTCAGGCTGCAAAAAACACAAATTGGGTATAACCGGTGATGAAACATTCTTTCATGTGCAACAAACAAAAAAATCCCAGACTAGACGACATTGAATGGAGACAGGGAAAGGTACATTACGCAGGGGGAAAAATCTATGTATATATGTAAGTGCTTCAGCTTACCGCTTCATCAGCTTCTCCCGGGAATGTGATTCTCTGTCCATTTTGCATTCCCTTCTCCACAACTACTTCCAACACTTTCTTCTCTCCAACAACCTTGTCACCCTTGCACTGTGGGCAACGATCCTTGTCATTGATGGTTTCACCAGTACCTTTACACTCATTACAAGGATGCTGCATCTGCTGAATCATAGATGGGCCAAGATGTCTAATAGAAACTTTCATTCCAGACCCTTGACACCCAGCACATTTCATGGAAGCACCTGACTTGGATCCTTTACTGCAAATGATCAATAGGTAACCATGTTAGACCAACAAAATATAGGATGAATGAAGATGGAATATTAAACTAGGCCCATTCAAGTACTCACCCCTTGCACTTAGAGCATATTACATTGCGTGACAGGGATAGCTTCTTGGCTGTTCCATTGTACAGATCCTCCAGGGAAACCTTGAGGGGATGAATCACATCCTCTCCCCTTCTTTGCCTACGGCCTCTGCTGCTTCCACCACCTGGGAAAAAAAGAATTTAAGAATTACACCCAAATGTATAAAAAATGTTCTCTCTCTTACATTGATGGCAGTTTCAATTTCAAAAGTGTATATAGTGAGATGCCCTTACCACCACCAAATGGGCTGCCACCAAAGAAGGATTGGAAGATATCAAACGGGTCATGTCCACCTCCTCCTCCACCCATTCCTTCCTTGAGAGCATCTTCACCATATTGATCATAAATCTCACGCTTCTCTGGGTCACTCAGAACCTCATAAGCCTGGGCCAGCTCTTTAAACTAAAACAAAAACAAAAACAAAAACAAAGTTCACAATTTAACACACAGAATACTTCCTCTCTTACGATAGACAATACATTACATATGTCAAAAGCCAATGCCAAACAAATGCACCATGTTTATCATGCTAGGCAACACAATAAACCAAAATTACATTGAAAGTTTAACACTATGTTTGGGAACCTAACAGAGAAAATAAAAAAAATATTACTTAAGTTATATAAGAGAATAAAATAAAATAAATGATTCTGATTTTTCTTTTTCGGATAAAAAATAAAAGAAAAGAAATGATTGTAATTTCTTTCCTTCTTGTTTAGTTAAATTTCATAAGAAAAAAATTTATTTTATGTTATATTACCAAAATAACCTTTTTATATTTTGTCAATCATTTTATTTCTTTAATTTTTACAGGGACAAAATTAGTATTTTAAAAATATAAGAATTTGTTGATTTCTTTTCTCTCAATCTCTCCACTCTGAGGGTTATAAGAGAAATGGATTTCTCTCTGTTTCTTACCATTTCTCTCCCCTTAAGTTATCCAAACAAATAGGAGAAATCCATATCTCTTCATTTCTTTTCTTTTCTCTCCAAATCACTCAATCCAAACAGTGTAAAAAATACAAATAACCAACTAGGGCTGGAGAAACTATTCAGAGTTAGAATCTCTAAACTACTTAGGTAAATAATAAGTACTAGTTTGCCACCAAAAAAAAAAACCAATTAACTTCAGAAATGAGTACAACAAATTGTGCATTGAAATTTTTAAACCTCTTTCTAGACTAGAAAGATACATACTCATTCTATACTAAATTGTAGCTGTAGTAGTTTGAGAATTTAAAGGAAAAACAATTGGGCATAAGCTGAAATAAACAGGACATTATAAATTCCCTTCCATTGAAGAAAAAGAATTCAGAGTGCAAAACAAAAAATTAAATTTTTCTTTGTTTAAGTTGGCCAAATCAACCACCAAATAGAGACTCATATAATTCGCAAGCATCACAGAGACATAATTACCCACCCAGTAATAGTAACATTCACAGCAACGAGATTTTCAGGTGAAAAAAAAAAAAGGCAACTCACAAACCAAAACCCAGATCATCATCTATAGATCTATCTTTTAACATCGATAGTCCACAAAACATCTAAAGAACCAATTTTAACATCATTAATCTACAAAATAAAGTACCTTTTCTTCAATAAACAGATATAGATAGATCTACATACATATTGATTCATAGAAATAACATATAAGAAAGGTAATCGTACCTTCTCAGGATCCCCACCCTTATCAGGGTGGTTCTTGATAGCAGCTTTTCGATACGCCTTCTTCAGATCATCCTGCGATGCGGTCTTCGAAACACCAAGAACTTCATAGTACTTTGTGTTGTCGCTCTTCTTCGGTGCTCTCCCAAACATCTTCGATGATCAATCGATCTACACAATACACAAAACACAAAACAAAGCACAAAAAGGATCGATCGTACCCTCAAAAATGAAGATCCATAGAGATCGATACACATAGATATACGAATATAGAGAGATTTTAGAGAGACAAAACGCACCAACGATGGAACCCTAGAGAGCGAGAACGGGTCAGAGAAAGGGTGCGTGGAGACGAATTCGTGTTCGAAGAGGTTGCTTGCTTTTGGAGTCAGAAGTGGGTTTTATCGTACAAGAATTTGGACGGTGGAGATTAGTTTAGTTTGCGAAGATATCTACAGAAGAAGATTCTAGAATTCCTCATTATTTTCCTGGTCTATTATAATCTCTACCGTCAGGATTTATTTTTTTATTGAGGACAAATTTCAATTTACTTCTTATGATTTAGATTATATGCGAATTATCTCTTTGACTTTTAAATATCACCACATAATTTATTTGTGATTGATGGAGTAATGTGCACTGTCAACACCGTAAATGACAGACGTAAAAAAATCAATTTGCCCTTGTATATATATATATATATATCGAAACTTGCTTACCAGTTTTAATTCCAAAAGTCATGAATCTTAGAAGAGGAAAGTGAAGAGAACTAGAGTTGTTTGATTGAACGATTCAACAAATTAAGGTTGTTTGATTGAACAAATTAGGGTTTCAATCGAACGAAATAGTGTATAGATTTGAGAAAGTAGGGCTTCGATTGTTTAATTGTCACCGATTTGGAGATTTACGAAGAAAATGAAATCCAAAAGTTCACGAAGAATAAGTTATAAGGTATTTTTTCGAACATGGCTTTTTATTGTGTTTCATTCGGTTCGATTTACTGATATATATATATATATATATATATGTATAAAATGTTAATTGATGTACTTTTTGTTGATGTATACTGTGGTCCCGTGTGTTTTGTATATTAGGGTTTGTGTGCCTCCCTTTTTCGTACCATTAGTGGTTAACTTTTGTCATGACACTGTGTGCAATGTAGTTGTTTATATCCTGTTGCTATGGTGGTTTTCTGTATATATAAAGTTGTTCATATACTGTGGTCCTCTATAGTTGTTTGCTTATTTGTAGTGAATGATGTGAGTGTATTACTTTGTTTGTTTATTGTCATTGTGTTTTGTGTGGAGTATGTACTGAAAAAGTGAAGTTTATCCGTAATTCTCAATGTATTACTTTGTTTGTTTCCTTCTTCAATTAACTTTTTATCCCTAATCCTCAATGTATTATTTTGTTTGTTCCTCCTTCAATTAACTTTTAACTTTATGCCTGAAAAATAGGTTTTTTAATTCTATTACTTTATACTTTTATATTTTGTTTCTGTTTTGTGTGATCTGTTTGAGGATTAGGGATTATTTATTATTTTAGTTTATGTTGGTTACATGTATGACTATATCTTTGTTTAGGGTTTGGGGTTGTGGGTTGTGGGTTGTGGTCCCAAAATGTATTGATGAAAGTCTTTTCTACTTTAAGAGTGAATGCTGAAAATGTCAGACAAATTCATAACTGTTCAAATACACCATGGGAGTCATTTTGTCTTTCATTCACATGTTGTTTATAAGGGTGGTAGGGTGAATGAAACAATTAACTGTGACCTTGACAAAATGTCTGTATTTGAGTTAAGAGACCTTTATTATGACCTGGTTGGTGGAAAAGGAGCAGACATAGATATATACTATATATGGCCAAATTATAGTTTAGATGTTGGGTTGAAAACAATTTACAGTGATGTTTATGTAATGAAAATGCTTGAGGTTTATAAGGGTTTGGATTATGTAGTAGTTTATGTAGAGAATGGTGTAGATCCTATTATGGTTTTGTCATCCAATGGTGAGTTGTTGTCAAATCCCAATGGTGCAAAACAGGGTGGTAATGCCATAGGTGGTGGTGACACAAAACAGGGTGGTAATGCCATATATGGTACTGACACAGACATTATTGATATAAACTTGTCTGATATTGACATCATAGTTGATGACATTAGGAATGACTCAGATGATAGTGCAAAGGTAGCTGAGGGTGAGGATGTGGGTAAGGGATGTGAGGGTAGTGATACACAACATGAGCGTAATGATACACAACATGTGGAAGGGTTGCAGCATACTACTGACACTGAGTCTGTAGAAGGTAATAAGGCTAATGAGAGTGACAATGCACAGAGTGAGACTGAATTTTTGGCTGATGAAGAGAGAATTGATAGTGATGATTCTGAGGACTTGGACTATATAGTTAGTGAAGAATATAGTGATACTGAGACTTCTGAGGATAGTGCAAAGGAAAATGATGACCAAAGTTGGTTGTATGAAGACTTAGAGGGTCCAAATGATGACATTTTTGATGAAACCTCACACGGAAAAACTGAAGGACCACTACCTAAAGTTAATCTACCAGGTAATGTTGGTTGGTATTCAGATGTTGATGATGATGATGAATTGAATAGTCTAAAAGGGTCATCAAATGAGGCAGATGATGCTGGATACCCAGAATACAAAGAAGGGATGATGAAAGATCCCAAACTTGTAGTTTGAATGAAATTTCCCAATCCCCAAGTTTTTAGAGAGTATTTGAGGGAGTTTAATGTGGTGCATGGTTATGATATAAGGTATATCAGAAATGAGAGTGCTAGGATCACTACTGTTTGTAGGCATGGTTGTACTTGGAGGATACATGCCTCTCCATTTGGAAGAACCCCAACCTTTCAGATCAAAACTCTAGAGAGGAATCACACATGTGTGAGGAATTACAACAAACAAACAAGCCAACTCTAAGGGCCTGTTTGGTAACGTTTACGTTTTCAGTTTATATTTATAAAAATTTTATAAACTACTTTTTGTTTATTTTTAGAAAAACATAAACTACAAATGCGTTTGGTTTAGACAAAATGTTTAAAAAAAATTAAAAATATAAAAAAGAGTGAGAAATGGCAAGTGGTGGCGGGATGGTGGGGTGGTAGACGTGGTGGAAAGCGGTGACAGGTAGGTGGATTGGTGTGGGTAGGTGGGTAGTGGATGGTGGGTTGGTGGTGGGGTGGTGGTGGTGTTAGTTGGTGGTCGGAGATAGTTGGTGGGTAGTGGTAGTGGTGGTGGTGGTGGTAGGGTGGGTGGGTGACGGTGGGGGTGGTGGCGAGTTGGATGGTGGTGATGAAGGTGTTGAGTAGTGGTGGCGGGGGTGGTGGTGCGGCGGGTGGGTGGCAGTGGGTGGCGGTGGTGCGGGTGGGTGGCAGTGGGTGGTAATGGTGGTGGCGGCGGGTGGGTGGTGGTAGTGGTGGCGCGGGTGATGGCGACAAATAGATGGTTGTGGGGGTGGGTGGTGTGGTGGTGGTGGTGGTGGAGGTGGCGGTAGGTGAATGTGGGTGGTGGTGGGTGGTTGGTAGGTAGGTGGTGGGGGTGGGTGGCAGGTAGGTGGTTGGCGGATGGTAGTGGTGGTGGTAGGTGGTGGTGGTGGCGAGTGGTTGCAGCCGGATGGATGGTAGTGGGGGTGGAGGTGGTAGGTGTTGGTGGGAGGTGGTGGGGTGGCAAGTGAAGTGTGGTGGTGGTAGATGGCAGGTAGGTGGTGGTGGTGTAGTGGTGGTGGTGGTGGTGGTGGTGGTGGCGGTGGGTGGTGGGGTGGGTGGATGGTAGTGGCGGTGGTAAGGTGGTGGCAGTGGGTGTGGTGGTGGTGGTGGTGATGTTGGGTGGGTGGTGGGCGGTGGGTAGTGGGGGGGTGGTTGTGGCTGGTGGTGGCAGGTGGTGGATGGTGTGGCAGGTGGGTGGTGGTGGGTGCGTGGTGGTGGCGAGTGGTGGATGGTGGTGGTGGCAAGTGGGTGGTGAGTGGTGGTGGGGGTGGTGGCGGAAGACGGTGGTGGAAAATGATGATGGTTGGTGGCTAGTGTTGGGTGGTAAAAAAAAAAAAAAACTCAAAACTCAAAACTCAAAACGAAAACACATTTTTTGAGTTTACATTTTTTGGCCAAATTTATAAACTGAGACCATTGATTTATAAATAAAAAATTTACTAAACAAGTTTTTATTTGAGTTTTTAAAATTTTTGTAAATGTAAATAGAAAACTGAAAACGTAAGTGTTACTAAACGACACCTAAGTACTTGGGGATGAAGTTTGTAGATGAAGTAAGAGATAACCCCTCCATTAACATAGCCTATTTCAAGAAAAAAAAAATTAGAAGAGAGATAATGGTGGATGCAAGTAGGTTTCAAATATATAGGGCAAAGAGAAAGGCAAGGGAGATAATTGCAGGGGATTTGGCAGAGCAATATCACAGGATTAGGGATTATGCAGCTACAGTTGCTAGGAAAAATCCAACCTCACACATTTCAATAACAACTAATCCTGAAAAGACAGAGCCTACATTTGAAAGAATGTATTTCAGACTTGGTGGACAGAAAGATAGATTTCTAGCAAAGTGTAGACCAATAATAGGACTAGATGGTTATCATTTGAAAGGGATTTTTGGAGGGCAACTACTCAATGTTATTGGGAGAGATGGAAATGACAACATGTATCCTATTGCAGTGGCTTTGGTTGAGATAGAATGTAAAGCCTCTGAGTGATATTGGGAGTGTTGAGGAGATGAGGTGGACATTTATATCAGATAGACAGAAGGGGTTGGTTAAAACATTTGCAGAGTTATACCCTACTGCAGATCACAGATACTACTTGAGACATATGTATAGTAACTTCAAGACAAAATACAGTGGTTGTGTGTTGATCATTTTCAGAGGATGTACATAGTGGACCTAAGTACTAGGACATACAGTTTGCAAGAGATGGGATTTGTCTGGTTTGCCTTGTAGTCATGCCATCAGTGCAATTCAAATCAATCATGGGTAGCTAGAAGCCTATGTGCATGAGTATTACAGCAAGTCTAGGTACTTAGATACTTATGCATTCATGATACACCCAGTTCCAGACATGCATGAGTATAAGAAAGGTGGCCAGAAATTGAATCCACCAGAAACAACGAAATTAGCAGGCAGACCAAAGAAGTTAAGAAACAGACAAGCAGATGAGCCAAGAAATCCACACAAGGCATCAAGGAAGAACATCAATGTCACATGTGCTAAGTGTCTGCAGAAGGGACACAATTAGAGGTCATGCAAGAACAAACTGCATCCTAAGTCCAAAATGGTGAAGGTTAGTATATACTTATGCATTCATTTATTGTACACATGTTGTTATTTGTTTGTTGTATACTTAATTTGTTTGTTGCAGCAGAGATGTACTAGTGGGCAATCATCTCAACCTGCATCAACTCTTACTCCTACTCTTACTCATACTCCTACT